GGGACTCGATCCTGGGACTCCAGGATCATGACCTGAGCCGAAGGCAGTCGCTCAACCAACTGAGCCACCCAGGCGCCCCCTAGGAGTCTCTTTTAAATTGCGTATCAAAGAGTGCTCAGTTTTTTTTTTTCTTGTTAACAGAAATGAGAAAGATATCCAACAAGTGTTGGCGAGAAAGTATTGTTTTCTGATTAGTTTTAGGTAATCAGAAAATCAGCTGAACAGACCATCCCTTTTCCCAGTTCTTGCGATGAGCCGAGGTTTAGCGTACAGGCTTTGCTGTAACCGCGTCCCAGGATCTGTTGTCACTGTGTGGAGAGGCCGTCTGCACAGCTGCGTCACCTCCGACTGCATGCATGAGCGACTCTGCAGACGATGCTGCATGTCTGACTCGTGCTTCAGGACCTCGGTGCACTTCTGTGGCCTTGTTGCCAGGGCACGTCCACTGGCTGCTGGTGCCCAGACCACGCGGCCCACGGCCACTGCGATGCCCAGGAGGCTTCCAGGCTCAGATCAGGTTGTTCGTAAGGATCTCAAGAGTTGCCTTTAGGCAGTTAGAAACAGTTGGGATGATGTATTTGGTATCCCTTGTGTGATGTGGCAGTTGGCTAGGATGCCCTGGGCTGACATTTTCGTGTTTGAAAAACGTGACAGCAAATCTCTTGTTTTACTCTCCATGAGATGATTGTATGTTTTCCTTTTTGCTCTGTCTCTCTCCAGGCACCTTTTGATGTCCCAGCAGACTCTGCGGAATGTGCCGCCCATAGTGTTCATTCGGGACAGAGGAAACGCAGCTCTGGCTGAGGTGAGGCCCTGAAGTCACGCACTTCCTGTGACCGAAGCTTAGCGGACGAGGGCGAACATTGGAACGGTAATGGGTATAGTTAAAGGAGGTGATCAGTCCCCAAGAGTATAAGTGGAAAGTGAGGCTCCCAGGCACCTGTCCCAGCCAGATTCCCCAGAGGTAACTGCTTTCTCTGGCTTTTAACGTTTACCACTAAATCTCTAACCAGGAAACCAAATCTCGGTTTCTCGACTTAAAAACTGTCTTCCTCTGCGGATTCGACCTACGTTATTTTACACTGGAGGTTACATTCTGTTATTTATAAGTTAGTTATAAAGGTTGCAACCTGTAAGTTTATATACATTTTCTTTCTGTGTGGTAGTTACCCAGTAGTTGTTAAGGTGTGTTATACTTTTAAAAAAGTTTACAAAAAACCGCAGTCAGTGGTATTCATGATAATATAGTTAGGTGACTGTTACACCACAGGACTAGATAGTATTTTTTTATTTTTCTTTTTTTATTTAGTTTAAAGATTTGAGAGAAAGGGCAGGTGCACATGAGCGGGGGTGGGGGGCGGTGGGCAATGGGAGAGAGAATCTCAAGCAGATTCCCCACTGGGCACGGAGCCTGACACGGGGCTCAGTCCCATGTCCCCAAGATCATGAACTGAGCCGAAACCAGGAGTCAGTCAAATGCTCAGGTGCCCCAGGACTAGGTAGTATTTAGATCCACAGAGGAAAACAAATCTAATTGGAGGTTTTCATTTTTTGTTACTTGTTATATAAGCAACACAGAAAACATTGTATGAATAATTACCTTGACACATGTATGATTTTCCTCACTAGAAAAGGAAACGGAGTAATGTGACCAGTGCCAGCTTTAGAGAATCAAGTAGAATTTAGGTTGTGGGCTGTGCTGGGAAGATGCGTGCAAGGAACTCACCCATGCACGGTTGGCGGAGCTGGTAGAGGGAAGTACCACCCAGCTAAAGGGAGAGTCCTCTCCCTCATGTCTGGTCCCCCTGTGGGGAGGTAGGTCCTACCTGGCTCTGTGGGCTCCTTTCAGAAAAAGTCGTTGGAAAGGGGGAGGTACAGGTAGTGCTCAAAGCATCTCGGAGCCGTTCTGTCTCCAGACGGTGCTGTGGGCTCCTGGAGGCCACTTGGGCCTGCCCAGCATCTGTCCTCCCGTGTCCTTCCTGTGCTGGGGGCAGAGGGAAGGTTGGGCTTCTGCTCATCTCGTTGTCCTCGGGCGTCTGTGTTCCTGTAGTCAGAAGCAAGCAGAGGGGCCGGGGGGATCTCTGATTGGGGCAGATGATTCACATAAGTCAGGGCGGTGTTTTTTTGAAATAGGGGTTAAAGTCAGCCAGTAGAAAAGCAGTTTGGATAGACACACACAGTTGAAATTGGGGATTATGGATGAAACTATGAGTCTTGTAGCTGTCCGCTCATTTCTGTATTTTATGTTGGTTGCACATGTTGAAAAGTCACAGGCAGTTGGAAATGCCAGGGGCTGGCCGTAGTTGCAACAGCTTACTTGGCATTCTCAGGGTAGTGTCCACTCGTCTGAACATTTGAAGAGCAGTAATGAGCTTTACCCCAGGTAGTGTTTAGCAGGGCTGGCATCAGTGCCTGTAGACACACACGGGTGCTCGGCCCGCACAGATGCTGGGGCTTGCCCTTCCCCCAAGAGGTTTCCACTAGTGACCACACCGAGTGGGCCAGAATGACACTGGGGGACCTGCTCTGTGCTGCGGGCCAAGCAGCTAGCCGCAGAAGCTGAGGGTGCGCACATCTTGCCACCTGAACCGAGTGTGTGCACACGAGACTCGCCCGGAGTGCTGGCGGCAGGGATCCGTCAGTCAGACTCCCGGGTACGCGTCAGACTCCCAGGTACGGGTCTGACTCCTGGTTACACGTCAGACTCCCAGACTCCAGGGTATGCGTCAGATTCCC